GACACAGACAGGCCCGGAACGCACACAGCACCCCCGTACCTTTCAGGCAGTTTGCGACTAACAAAATACTATGCCAATAAACAACGGACACACAGCGCGGCTGAAAAATAATCCCCCCCGTGCACCTCCCTGCGCAACTGGGTAGAGAAATACAGGGGAGAAGTCGCGCGCGCTGTTCGTCCGTCTGATGTCTCGTACCCCGGGGTCGTCGTATCTCGTGGATGGATGCATCCAACGGAAATGAAGCACGGACCTGTTCAACCACCAACAAGGACGCGCGAAAAATGTTATTGAAACATGGAGTTAGAATAAGTCAGACCACACGATCTTTCGGTACGACGTGGAGATCTGACGTGCAATAATGCCGGGCACGACATCCCCAAGCCCAATCCCAAGGAACGATATATTATGTACCCGCCTGAAGAAGTAGCCAGATCTCAGTTCCAGGCGTCGGTGACGAGATCCGCAACCCCATCATCTGTGTCTCCATCACTCCAGTTGGAGTTGACGCTTTTCTCGCTCACCCCGTCAGGTTCCCCATCGCTGGAGCCAGATTCGCTCGAATCCAACTTGATCAAATCGTCGAGTGCTCCGACCGAACCGTCGCCGTTATCGTACGACTCGGGGTCCTCCAACTCTGCGTTCTTGGATTCCGCGGCCTCGCCGGCGGAAACGTCCTTGCTCGCAAGCGACTCGGGGGTCCCCGCCTCCACGTCGTTCTGTTCCGCTCCGTGCGATTCCTGCTGCCTCATAGAAGCGGCAAAGAGTGCCATGGCGTTGGCAACACTGTAGGATGGCCGTGGCCGACTCTCGATGTGTGGCTGGGGTCGGGGGGTACCCTCTACCCGACTAGTTTGAGGAGCACCCACCGTAGGCCGTGACGCAGACCTCCCCGCTGCACGCACGGGTGCCGGGGCCACCCGCCGTAGGGTGCAACGATTTCTGCAGCCGCAAGCGAGCGAGCACTTCTTGTTCTTGCACCTGCACCTGTTACACAGGGCCGTGTCCGGATTGCAACCACACGCAAGCGTGACTGTCTTTCGGTCAGGGGCGATATAAGCATACTCGGACAGGTCAAGCACGCAGTTCTCCTTTGTGAGTTCGTCGCCGTCGCTCCCCTTTCCTCGTGGGTCGACGCTCCATCCTTTGCCGGCAAACTCTGTCGCCGGCATGGTCGCCCTCAGGCCATTCTGCCAGTACCGGAAGATGGCGTTACCTCGTTCCGCCTGCTTGCGCAAGGAAAAAAAAGATGGACAGGTGGCTGTCGTCTTCTTCTTAGGGAGTTGGAGGATGGCGTAGCGGATCACGTCCACGTAGCCCTCGACGTCGCCATCAACGCTTTCGACCAGCTGGGCTGGAGTCAAATGAGCAGTGCCAAACGCCGCCTCATCCTTGTAGAAGAACATGGTCGCCAAAAGCTTCGCGCATTCGTTGACATGCACGGCCCACGTGCCGTCCTCCTCCTCAAAGAACAGCGGCCTGTCAAACAATCCCTCCGTCCGCACGCTCTTGAGGGCCAGTACCCACATCTTGTCGAACGGCAGCCCGGAAATTGCCGGGAGGTAGTCACAGCCCGACTCCAGGAACGTTAGGACGAACAGACGGACCTTGTCATTGTCCGTGGGAATCCATCCCCTGAAGGTCAATGGCGGCCACGCGGACTCGCTTCCGTCCTGGAGCTCGCAGATGCTGGCGAACACTCTGTTCATCCACAGGAACTTGGTCTCGCCACCCACGACCTTCTGGACGGTCACGTCAACCGCCCCCTCGCCACGAGGCCGGAGCCAACCAGTGGTCATCGCCAGTAGAATGATCATCCATAGGTCCGTGTCTACCGATGAAACGATCCACTTGTGGAAGTTTTTCCCCCAGTACCTCTTCGCCCAAACGATGAAGTGTATCACGGAGAGCTCCGCCTCGCCGATGTCTGGCCCTCGCTGCCGCTCGACGCCGAGTATCGGGTCGTTTCCGTTTCGAAAGTGAAGGAGTGGTTCGGTTCCGGAAAGCGCCTCCGTGGCACCTACCCCTCCCATCTCAAGGCCTACGCCCTCCGCATCTACACCAGCTGGATGATCAGCTCTCAGACCAGGCTCACCTCCGACGCCATAGAATGCGACGATTCCGTTCGGCTTGGTGTCGCCGGTCCAGACTTCATCAGCTAGCACGCGCATGGCGAGGTTGGCGGCGATTCCGTCCCGCGCCGCCTTGCCATCGGCTCGAAGCCATGGTCCATACTGTAACGAAGGAACAGGGTCCGTTGACTTCGGGTCGAAGGTCCGAGAGCACTCACCAAGTTTCTCGGTCCTCCCAAGCTGCTCTTGTCCTTTGATTACCGGGACCAGTTCCTGTCGGTCGTAGCACACCATGAGTAGCTCGGTTGACTGCAGCCACTTCGACAACAGCTGCCTCTTGAAGTAGTCGATTATTCCCGCAGTTCCCTTCTCGAGATATTCCGGGTGCACCCCTTGGTGGATTGACACGGGAAGATCCACGCCATGAGCGTCGGCGTCGTAAAACGGGTCGTCTGCGAACCCGTCGGCACAGTGCTCTCTGACCCATTTCCCTGGACCTGCCGCCTTGTTGGCGTGCTTAGCTCCTGATACGTTTGGGGAGAGATAACCAACAGGGGTGTTTGGGGATGGGGGGGTGAACACAATGTGATGCGGTATGCATTATGATAATAGCACTCAGAAACACGGGTGTGGAGAGTGGGTGAGCTTCGGCTGGGAGCGAGAGCACGAGATGACAACCTGTATTGCGCACGCTCTCTTCCTCACCTCCTGTCGCGTTGGCTATGCTGTACGGCGTGGCCGCTCCTATGGAAGCCACCATTTCCAGCATCTGGTCTTGCGTCACCACACCCCCACCTTCTCTGGCCGCATCGAACATGTT